CCGTCAGCTCCGTAACCCGCGGCCGTCCCCACCGTCAGCTCCGTGACCCGCGGCCGTCCCCACCGTCAGCTCCGTAACCCGCGGCCGTCCCCACCGTCAGCTCCGTGACCCGCGGCCGTCCCCACCGTCAGCTCCGTAACCCGCGGCCGCCCCCAACTTCAGATCCATGATGCCATGTCTGCTGTGGTAGTCTCAGTGGTTACGGGCACAGACCAGCCTTACCCTCCTGTTCTGTCCTGTTTGTTTTGAAAAAGCTCTTGCCTGATGCTTGATTCTAGGAGGAAGGATTCCCCTGGATTAGGGGTGGGGCTTAGGGCTCATGTCTGTGCTCTGGTAGCTGCTGGGCTGGAGTAAAACAAGGTCCAGGGACCCGAGACTCGTCTAGGGACGGATGGCTGTGTGTGTGTGTGTCTTTGAGGATGGCTGTGCATGTGTGTGTGTGTGTTTGAGGAAGGCTGTGCATGCGCAGATGCTGTGCATTGGTGGATCGCCATGCCTTGGCGGAGGGCTGTGCCTCTGTCCTCCTCTGAGCTGAGGCAGCAGTATTTGTTGGTGTCTGTTACTTATCCTTCATTTTTCCTTGGGGCTTGACTCAATTTTCTCTCCTCTGCTGCCCCAACATCACCGTCATCACCCACACGTTCACAGAAGATGGATCACAGGCCCCATTCAGCTGAGCTTGGTCCCCAGTGTTTCTAGGTAACGGCACAGGGAACAAAGAGGGAAAAGTGCAGAAAAGGGAGCTGGAGAGAACTGGCATGTTCCCGGGACCCCGGCGAGGCCTCATGAACGAGGGGACATTTATTTGTCTTTGCTGTGCCAGACTCTCAGACAGAGAGCTGTGAGCCTCTGAGGAAATGTGTTTGTGTGTGTGTGTGTGTATTTAATGGGGCTCTGCGTTAATTTGGTGTTCTGTCATGAGCAGGGGACGGGGGGGGGGGACGGGGGGAATAACTTTTAGGATAATACAATGGCTTTCAGGATGTGTGTACTTTGCTGTTTCAGAGAGGGAGTGTATGGGGGGTTAAAACAATAACTGTTTTCATTTCCTTTTTTTCTTTAAAAGATTATGGTGGTGCATGAATTCCTGTGGTGCACGGCTGTGTGCAGAAGCCTTCCTCCTGTTTGGTTCCTGGGCACGCTGTTTGTTTGGTTCCTGGGCACGCTGTTTGTTTGGTTCCTGGGCACNCTGTTTGTTTGGTTCCTGGGCACGCTGTTTGTTTGGTTCCTGGGCACGTACAGGTACGCGCGCTGTTTCGCGGTTTCCAGTCGGCACGTCCTTGTAGAGCCGAGGGCCTCCACCGAGTTTGCTTGGTGATCCCCTGGTGCTCATCTCCAGCTGACAAATTGGATTTACGTAGATCAGAGGTATAGCTCATTGGCTCAAGTCAAATTACATCATTGTTTGAGTTTTAACAAGGTTATTACATGCTCTGCTGTTATGGGGGGGGGGTGTGGGTTTAGATTTTAAAAGACTTGGGGAGCCTGGAATGATACGAGACGTCTGAGGACAATAAAGTGGAAGGAGAACAGAAGCAGGGCTTTAGAGCAAAGATCCGGCTGTGCAATCTGCTTGCGGTAGGTAGCCTGTCAGAAACTGTAAACATTATTTGTCAGACCCCCCAAGCCCCATCCGCCCCTCATCATCTATTTATTTTGATAATAATTCTGCCTGGTTCCAAGCTCTGTTGCTGTGCCTGATATGGAGGGGAGAGTGGGGTGGGCTGCACAGCCTGGAGACTTTGTCTTTTGTTAGAAGTGTGTTTGAAAACCTTGGGCTCCTGTCGCAGTTCACAGTGGAAGGCAGCTGTTTGTAAGCCCTTCCCAGCCTCCGGCCTGCTCTTCTTCTCCTCGTCTTGTCTTGCCCTGTGGGTCTGCAGTTTCATCCCCATTCGCCAGAATGCGTAGATTTCACCTCTGCCTTTCTGTAGGTTCAATGTCGGGTATTCTGTCCGGAGAGTCAGAAGTTCCTCTGCAGTCCTTCCACGGATTTTGGGCTTGGAAGGAGCCTGGATTCTGATGGATCCTTTTTGCAAGAAGCCTCATACTTATCCGGGATCGGTTCAGTTCCCTTCTGGGCCACGTCCAATTGCTGTGAGCCAAGCGAGCTCGTAGATCCAGCGTGGGTTCCTGATGCCTGATCCAGATCCAGCTGGCGGAGTCCCGGGTCAGATGAATGGGCCGTTTGTGTCAGGAACTGTTTGCTCGTTTGTTCGGCTTTCCGCCCAGTTTTCTGGTTTGGACCGTGAGGCGTACGGACAGAACGGCGAGGGCTCAGGAAATCGCAGCGGTGGGTGTTTGGCGGAGATGGGGGTGTCTGAAAGTGCATGCCTGTAACGGCCGACCCTGAGATCTAAAGCCCAGGACCCAGGATGGGCTGGAAGGAAAGTGCCAAGAATACTCAGACGTCAGAAGCCCGATGCTGCGAGGTGAAAGGCGAGTAAGTGAGTGGCGGAAGGGTGTGATTGGGGCAACTGAAGGATGGGCTTTGACCGGGAAGAAACAGAAGAAGCTTGGAGCATAGCAGGGGACGTACAGCATGTACGAAATGCACAGCGCTGTAAGGCTGTCCAATTCACCACTCAACTAAAGGGCACTTTTCCACCACAGCAGGTACCGTACTTTTGGTACTTCAAGAAGGTACCAAAAGTGTGACACTTCAAGGTGTTGGTTTTACACTGGGGTAAAAGCTGGTACCGGTGCTGAATGACATCGCAACACAAGGTGGGGTATTTTGTACTGAATTCGAAAAATGGCTGCAGTAGGACTGGACGATATGCGATATTGAGACCGACATCGCATGTTATGCGCATCCAGTTCTCACATGGCTAGTCGGCTAGGTTAAGATCAGGCTTTTTTATCTTTGAATTTGATACGGATTTCATAGCGCAGGGAGTTTAAGTCTCGCTAAAACATTTTTACTCTGTCATAGGAAAAATAACATGACAAGTTTTGCAATATTAATGATTATTCCTTTTTACAGTTATCTAATCTATGTTTAAAAATCAGTTTAAAGTTTACCTCTGCTGCTTTTGCATGAGCACTGCATGCGTTCTCCGAGACAATAATAATAATTTTCAGCCTTGCTGTTTAAATCACTCCTAGATGGGTTCGTGAGAAATTAATGCTAGACTCCTTTTTTGTTTCATAAACACCCCAATATTTATTACAACATAATGACATTGCAATATTTGAAAAACTTCTAATATCGTGCTGTCATAGTATATTATACAAAATACTTTTATTTCCTGTTATGCGATCCTGATCCTGTTGTATCTGTTCTTCCGACCAGATTGCACTTAAAGCTTGTGTCAGTCCTTCTGTCCAAGCATCCATTATTATGTTATTTTTTTACGTCTGTGATGTAATGGGTCAACCAGAAAAAGCCTGATACTAACAAGCTGATAGGAGCCATATCGCCACCTACTGTAACGGAGTCAGACATACTTCGCTCAATAAATCGATTCCCCTCCCATGTATGTATTCTGGGACAAGGGCAGTAGTCCAATTAAATGGCGTAATCGGGCTATAAGCATAACTGGACATAGCTATGCATGTAAACGTCTTAGCCAGTGAAGATTTACGTGCCATGGTGATGTCAGCAATCCCACATCCGCCCCCCCCATGTATGGAAGTACCTGATCTATAGTCATGGCTACAGTAACACATGGAAGTACCTGATCTATAGTCATGGCTACAGTAACACATGGAAGTACCTGATCTATAGTCATGGCTACAGTAACACATGGAAGTACCTGATCTATAGTCATGGCTATAGTAACACTAGGCCACGAGTCTGGAGCTCACTTGTCACCCTGCTTGTCTTACTTCCTACAAACGAGTCACTTAAGGATCCTGGCTGGTTTGTTTCGTTATCCTGGCCATGATGCGACTTCTCGGCCACCGTGACATGCTACGTGACCGTGACGACTTCCCCATATTCTTTTCACGTGGCCGGATTGCACGTCGATTCCAGGAAGTGTGTCGCGCAGGCCTGCTTGTACGCATTACCCCGCTTGCCGCTCACCGTCTGGGGGGGCGCCGTTGGGGAATGCTAAGTTCACGCGATCCTGTTAGTGCGGAACGGCGCTTTAATTGGATCTGCCCGACGACACCAGGGCTAGTGTCTCCCTGGGCGGGGGAGGGGGGAGCAGGGAGGACAAAGAAGGACACAGAATGACACAGAATGCTTAGCGCCAGGCTCTGCATGTGCTTCTCGCCTGGACTTTGGGCATGAGTGCATTTCAATTCCAGACAAAACGTTTTTCTTTTTTTCAAGTGTGTGTGTTTTGTGTGTGTGTTGGCTGTTCCCAGCTTCATCCAATCAGCTGGCAGTCTGCCACACTCTGGGGGTGGAGTCAGTGTTTTTTGCACAAGCTGCTCTGCGATTGCATTCGCCTTCCTCAGAGTCGTTCCTGACGATGTCCTCCTCCTGTGTGCCGCGTGTTGTTTTAGGTTCTCCAACCTGGGGAGGAGACTGTGACCCCCCCCCCCGCCCTCACGCTGCTCCCACCCCCTCCATGACAAATCAGACCCCCGTCTCACTGCTTGCTGCAGGCAGGGCCCTTGATTTGGCGTGACCGCGCTTTGTGGCCCTCGGTCGGGCCGGGACCGCCACCCACAGGCGGAGCCTCGTTACACATCGCCATGGCGACAAGTCGGAAACTGCACCCGGCCCGTGCTGGCAGGCTCGATCTGGCAGTAAAGGCCGGCCGCTGCGGTTTCTGGCTTACCCGAGGTGTGCCTCAGAGGGAAGGCCGTAATGTCGCCAGGCTCTGGAATCTCGCCCCTCCGCGGCCCCGTTAACCACCCGGCGGTGTGGCGGCACCGTGCCAGGATGCCGCAGGAGTTGCTGCTTTTTGTTCCTGTAGAATTTCCGTGTGGTGTTTACCGAGACCTGTCCAGTAGGATGATGTCAGGCACAGACCGCAGCCAGCAGCGGCGTGTCCTACCCCCCCCGCCATCGCTAATGCGGCCCAAAATGCTCTCCTCACCCCTCCCTCTCGTGGAGGTTTGATTGGGGGCTTTGATTTTACCGTCAGTGTGCATGTCAATGCGATTTATTTGAAGCCACCTGTTTGGAGAGTCTACCCCGGCACCCCGCCTGGTCCCAGGGTCAAAGATGTGTGTTTCCTTTTGTCTCCCCTGAGCTCCCCCAGGGGAGTGGTTCTGGAAGAAATGGGGGCCCAGCCACCGTCCCAAGCCCGACACAGAGCCCTTTGTGTCAGCCAGGCGTGGACTCTGACTGGGCTGCTATTGTGCCTCCTGTTCTTAACTTGTAATCTGATTGGTTCCCCGCAGACTTGGGCATTTGGCTCAGCTAGCGAGCCGAGATCTGGGAGATTCAGGGCTGGTCCTGGGCTGCCCTTCCAGCAAGGGCCCTGCTGGTCACCCGCTGCCTTTACTGGTTTATCTATCCAATCCAATACTCCTGACCCACTCTTGTTTTATAAAGACTGGTGACGTTGAGTCAAGGTAAAATTACTGACTATGGTAGCTGGGTCAGTTAGCTTGGGGTCAGGTTTTTAACCAGCCTGCTGTCTAAACAGAGAAATAGCCTGTGTACTGGGGGCTTGCATGGCTGGACAGAGTTCATGCACACCGTCTGTTTACCCTTCCTGGGAGAGACAGAAAGAGCCTGGAATAGTATTTGTTCAAACAACCACTTCATAATAAGTGCAAACATACTTGAAGACTCAAGCGCCCCGCTGGTGTTCGTAGGCACGCATGCTGATACACACACACACGCACACACACACACACACACACACACACACACACACACACACACAGATTCAATGCTCAGGACAT